TTGGAACCAGCGAAAACAGCTCATCGGAGCAATTACCATGAAAGTATTTGTAAAAAATACAGAGAGAGGCGACCGAACGTCTGTGAGACAGTGACTGCAAACGAGATGCCAGATCAGTGCCAATTATATTGCATATCCGTCTCTGGATCTTATCAAGAACCCCGAGGCAAACAGAAGGGGCTCCAGACCATATATGGCAGCAATACTCCATGCAAGGGCGAATGGTTGATTTCTAGATTTGAAGGATCGATTCCGTTGTTGTGCTAATTAATACTATTAATTTTTGACAGGTGTTTTGTTTCGTTTCACATATTTTGTAGCGTCTATTCAAGCTTTTACAGCTGATGGAAGTGGCTGTGAAACAACGGCAGGGTCGAAAATGAAATAAATTCTCGGAGAAATTTCCATTCACGTATTGTTTGCGTACCTTGATAGATTGACGGCTCGAGTAAAACTTGCGATAAAAAGCAACATGAAAAATAAAGATGAAAGATCCTAACCAAAAATTAAACTGGCAATGTCTCCTTTAATAATAATAATAAAAAGAAACGGTGATAAAATTAAACATGAGACAAAACTGATGGTGTAGAAAGCTTCATCTCATAACACAAAGATGGGAATAAATACAAGGCAAGTATTAATAATAATGGCTGAAAAGGTTTCATCTAAAAAAAATGGATTAAATAAAAATTTCTAAACATTCATAATAAAAGTTGATAATTATTTAGCGAAGAAAAAATGAACAAACTAAAATAGGACTGAAGATTTAAGTAAATACTAATCAAAAAATAATAATAATATCTGAGAGAGGTTGAATTAATAAAAAAAGATGAAATTATATACAAGTCAAAAATTAATAATAATGGCTGGCAATGCTTCATCTAATAAGAAATGAAGATAAAAGTAAATGCTAGTCAAAAATTAATAACAATGGCTGACATTGCTTCATCTAATGAAAAGTGAAGATGAAAGTAAATACTAGTCAAAAATTAATAATAATGGCTGACAATGCTTGATCTAATAAAAATAAAGATGAAAGTAAATGCGAGTCAAAAAGTAATAATAATGGTTGACAATGCTTCATCTAATAAAAAGATAAAGATGAAAGTAAATACTAGTCAAAAATTAATAACAATGGCTGACAATGTTTCATATAATGGAAGGTGAAGATGAAAGTAAATACTAGTCAAAAATTAATAATAATGGCTAAAAATGCTTGATCTAATAAAAATAAGGATTACAGTAAATGCTAGTCAAAAATTAATAGTAATGGTTGACAATGCTTGATCTAATAAAAAAGGAAATAAACAAAATCCTCATGTAAAATGATCAAAAAAAATCTTCAACTTATAAAAATGAGATAATTAATGTTATTAAAAAATTAATAATAATGGTTGACACTGCTTCATCGCAGAAATGAAAGAAAAGGTAAATACAATAAAGCAAAGAAGAAAATGGAAGAAAAAAACTGAAAAACATGCATAGAATAAAATAAGGTATGTAACGAAAGATTGAAAGAATATATAGAGAATTGTTTCAGAGGAAACAGAGAAAGAAAAAAAGGTTTAAAAGCAAATGATTAAAGGTGGAAAAGGAAGCAAGAAATGAGGAAGAAAAGAAATAAAAAGAAAAGAGGAAAAGCAAAGGACAAAAGAGAAAGGGCGAAAAGAAGTATTAGCATTTCGAAAAGAGAGTGTGAAAAAAGAGGAAAAGAAAGACTAAAAGTGTTCGGTGCAAAGGCAAAAGCCAAAACAAGTAAAACGAATTGAAATAGAAAAAAAAAGAAGGATGCAAACGGAAGAAAGACAAAATGTAAGAAGAAAACATTTAAAAGAAAAGTGGGGAGAAATCTAAGAGCTTAATAGGGGAGAAGTAAAGAAAGATAAAAAATGGGGGAAAAAATGAAAGAGAATTGCTATGTTAGCTGCGAAGAAAGTCGGTTCATTGTGTCGTGAGAAACAATCTTTCTCTCCAGAATCTATCTTACATATCTATAAGTCTACCGTTCGATCATGCTTGGAATATTTCTGCCATATATAGTTCGTTGGTCCTCTTATTTACTATGAGATCGTTGATAAGATTCAAAGAAGAATCTGCAATATTATTGGCCCTGATCTGGTGGCTCGGTTTCAGTGACTTTCCCACCTCCTTCCCAAAAATTACCATTTTATTTCCATCCTTCGTTTTGTTTATTCCTCGTTCATTAACCTTTTCTAGTTTACAACATTTTGGCGACGAGGATGAGACATTGATTCTGTGCAAAGTAAATCTAAAAAATGGGCTGTTATATACCGCACCTATGTCCCAATCCTCATAAATACGTTGGATACTATTGTAAAATAGAAGGGGTGGTAATATGCTGTCTAAGTAGTCAACCACTAGCAGTTGTTTACGTACTTCACGCCGCTGGCGAGTATTGTATTTTGTTGATGTTACAAAGATTACCATTTCATTTCCAACCTCCGTTTTGGTTATTCCTCATTCAGTAACCTTTTCTAGGTTACAACTGTAAGTAAGACTGCGTTGTTTTGTAGTAAGGAATATTGTTGTATGTTTTGGTCAGAGTCTGTGGCTAGCTAGTTTGAACTTTAAGACAGAAGTGCCTGTGGCTAGTTAATTTTAACTTTAAGAGAGAAGACCGTTCTTTGACTCATCTCAATTTTGGCCTTGTGCCACATGTTGTATATATAACAAATAAATAATGCTCTTAGCTATGGTACCGAGACTTTTTTTAATTTACTAGACTGGCGTCGAAATCTAATCAATTTACAACAGAGATGTCTAAATGTTACCGTAAATTCTACACCGTTTCTTTTCTCGCACTTTTCTCGCTTGTGGAACACCCTTCCGGCTTCAGCCTTTTCAGCCAACTTTAATATGTAAAAATTTAAATGAAATGTTAATCGCTATCTACTGTCGTTCGTATTAGTTTTTTTTTTCTTACCGCTGCTTTGTAATGATTCCTTAGTGGCATTACTGAAATGGATTAAAAAAATGGGATTCGATAAAATCTCCCCGAATATGCTCAACATGTGCGAAACAAATACACTACTGGTTCTTGCGTTTCCCTTGGATAGAGTACTCTTTATGGAGATATACATTTCTTGTAGGTCTATTTCATAGGAGAAATTAGAAATTGGGCGGCAATAATAATAATAATAATAATAATATATCGACTGTATTTGGGACTACAGAATAGGTAATATGAGCACCTTTATCGAGCAGTGAGAAACATGATCTCTAGCTATATAAAAAAAGGCTACTAAAATGGTAAATTTTCATCGTAGGTACCTCAGCTATTTTCGCTGTAGAAGACATGGGGGAATTTTTTTTTTCTTAGAATTTTTTTTTAACTAAAAATTTGAAATCTTGGTATCACTAGTGACATCGTGACTAATACATGTCGCTCTGAGGGATATATTTATAATTTATTTATTGGAAAAAAAAAGGTATATATCTTCACCAGAATGTCTGATGCTCAACTCCACGAGAACCCCTGCTGTTCCTCTTTAGGTCCTCGACAAAATCCAGAAACGGATAGGCAATGTGATTGGCCCTGATCTGGCATCTCGTCTACAGTCACTCTCTCACAGACGTGCCGTCGCTTCCTTCTGTCTTTTCTACAAATACTTTCACGGTAACTGATCCGACGAGCTACTTCCCAAATTGCATGAATTAAACGTGCCCCTAGGTCGACATCTCAGTCCTACTCTTTCACTGTCAAAACGGTTAAATGTAGCCGTTTATTTTACTGCAATAACTTAATTTCTCGCACCTCCCGTCTGTGGAATTCCCTGCTTATTACTTGTTTCCTTGATAACTATAATCTCCAACTATTCAAATGTAATGTCAATCGAAATCTCCAGATGCCTTGATCTATTCCCTGTACTCCCCTTCATTCTTTCCTCTATCTCCCCTCTTTACTCTTGCTCCCAATACTCTGTAACCCCTTGCATGCTAGTGGCACTCCCGCCTTGCTTGGGGTGAAATGCTTAAAAAATAGAAGAAAAATTAATGTTACTGATTTAGAAAGCAAAATATGTTTACTCGTATGATCTTCCTTAATGAAAATCGCCAATGGTTTAAAAACGATAAAAACATTTAAATTTAATGTCAATCGATATCTACTGACTCTCTGATTACTCTTTCCTCTTCCCGCTCATTATTCATGTTTCTGTTCCTAATTCTCCTACACGCTGTAACCTCTTGTATCTTAGTGGCATTATTGCCTTGCATAGGGTGATACCGGTTAAAAAAATGGGTGTGGGAAAGCTAATAACACAATGGAGGTGATAAACAGATGAATTGAAAATTTCGAACGGAGAGTTTGAGAGAATAAAAGTAAACACCAAAATGCTTAAGTACTAAATACAGGCTGTGGAAAGCCATGCCTTTTATTACTCACTTTTTCTTATGCGTTTCTTGAAACTGAGGATAAAAACGGTTGTGGGCGCCAATAGTCAAGGGTCAAATAACGAGCGATAAATGCTGACCTTAGCAAAGGGACTCGGCTAGGGCTGCAAAGAGAAGGCTTTCCGGTTTGCAATTAACTGACAGCGTATCGCTTACAGTAAGAAAATCCCGTGCAAAGTGTGATGCCGGGTTGCGTCAACGAAGGCGCTAAGTCAATGAAGTAGCCAGACACCTTTAACCGGTGAAGGTTCTCCATTTTGAATCAAGTTTTGATTTCATTAAAATATTGACATTGTTTTAAAATATCTTCATGTTAAATATTTTTGTATATTGTATATCAACCTGTCTACCCACCTGCCCATCTATCTATCTATCTATCTATCTATCTATCTATCTATCTATCTATCTCTCTCTCTCTCTCTCTCTCTCTATATATATATATATATATATATATATATATATATCCTAGTCTGTTCGCACATATGCATGCATGTATGTATGCGTGTTCATTATCTATATATATATATATATGTATATATATATATATATATATATCTAGTCTGTTCTGCACATATATGCATGTATGT